CCCAATTTCACATTTTTATTGTATCCATTGTGACTTGTACTCACACGTATGCTCCGCGCGAAAGTGGCAACGAACTGATTGAAAATGCCCCGATGGCGCTACACACGCGATAGCAGCAGCTACGATTTAAGGAGCAAGGAAGGTCTTGCGCCCCTGCCGCAGGCATTATTCTTAAAAACCTAAATTTCTGGGAAATAAAATAGATCAAAGACGTGTGAAGTCCGCCAACCCCATAGGAATTACAACAAACGTAGAATTACAACTGTTTTCTGCTCCCGCTTAAAGTAGATAACGTATGTTCCCAGTCGTAGAACCTTAAAGACAGTTTCTTTTTATATTATTATTTACGTCGAGGACATCATAGAAACCATTGAACTGACATAACTTAATGCAATTCGTAAATAATATGACAGTTAAAATAATTTAAGTAAGTGAATTGGAAGTTAGAAAATGGGAATCATTAAGTTTATAAGAGCGAGTCAAATGACGCACTCTGCGGTTAGAGATGCCGCCTTGCCTCGCGTTACCTGCATTGACATTATTTTCAACGTGGTCGTTATAACTTTAAAAGTAGGTCAGAGTTCTTAGCATTTTAAACCATGAATACAATGAATAGCAAAATATAAACGATAAAATAAAAAACGACGTTATACATCTAATTATGAATTATCATTAAATATAAAATCTAATCGAATACTTTGTAGTTTAATCGTCATATAATATAGATTATAAAATATAATATAGATTATTAAATGACGATAGTTGTGGCTGTAGCGAGCTTAGAAAAGCCAATTTTCAGGCTTTCTTCATAGGCCTGGATACTGTGAATTTAAAATACTATCCATTCAAAAGTTTATTAATGTTTAGATGCGTGGCTGTTTATGTGTCCTATAGAAGAGAAGGCAAAAATTAATTTAGTTCCTTATATTGCACAATTCGAACGCGGAGCGAGAGTGGTTAGCTTATTAAATGAAAATAATTTTACGGATTTCATCGCGTTTAATTTTGACCCTTTAAAATCCCAACGTTTCGGGTATTTTACAGCACCAATGGCCGCCACGGGGGAACTAAGGTGTTTGACATCCCGATGTCATAGCTAGCCCAGCTACCTTCAGTTTTAGAGTATTAATTTTTGGTCCGCTCTACGCAGAATGAGCTTACAGCATCTTGAAGTCTTGTAGATCCATAGAAGATGGCAGCACCCATCCATCTTCTCTATTGAAATTAGGATGTTTTTTAAATATAAATAACCTCGAGTCTATTGAAATAATTAGGGAAGAATATTAACCATATTATTTTGTGTCTTAAAGGCGGCTATGGGAAAGCCAGAAAAATGTCTACTACACTTGGTAGTGCGACCGCGAGTACGTCTGCCAAGTGAGGCCGTTTGGCGGTCGCATTATTTACCTTAGCCAAAGACCCATGTCCAGCAGTAGAGTTACGCGAGCTGCTGATGATGGTAATGAAAAGTCGAATTGAACTATAAGGTGCCTGCGGGTAAGGAGAGCCGGCGTTTTGCAAGAGCCGCTACTAAAAGAACACACTTCCAACGTATTTATTAGATCGCGCTTACGCACACATATAAAGAACCAATAGAAAGGCTTAATTACGCGGACGCGTGATCGTACGATCCGCCATCTTACCAGTAGCTAAGTATCCGTCCTGGCAGTTGGTCTGCGTCAATCAGGAGTTAAAATCTATCTACAAAGGTGATAAAATATGCATTATATAGCCTGCTGTTTGTAATAGTTGTTGTTTTATTGTAAAAAATAGTGATTTGTGTTAAATAATCAAGGTAACTTTAATTGCTATATTGACATTTAAAAATTTTAATCGAAAAGCTTAAGCTTAGTCTCATAGTCTAATACAATGCTGCTTAATAGGACCAGCCCTTATTAAATGTCCAGTTTTCCTAACATGCAAAAAATTTGTCTATATTTTCCAGCTTTTAATTTTAAAATGTTGTTCACAACCCAATATAGAACCTCCTGCGATGTTTTAGCAGATTTTGTTACTTCAGCAATTACAAGCTGCAATGGCTTGCTGTTCAAGGAGGACTGACGTCTCAACGTGCGACGTCAGCGCGGTATTCTGTTACCAGAAGAACTTTGGTAAACCACCTGAAATTTGGAAAAGTCGAAAAACAAATAGAATGTCGTACAGTTTTAACAGCAGAGCAAGAAAATGATTTGGCGTCGAAAATCAAAAGGCTTGCTTCCATTGGATTTTCTTTAACGCTAAATGTCATTCGTCGCCAAGCTTATGTGTTTTGTGAACAACACGAAATTCCTAATAATTTTAATCCGACAACAAGGCGAGCTGGTAAAGACGGGTTATTTAAAAAAATATTTTTTAAAAAGACATCCCGATATATCTAAGCGCAAGGTTCTAACCCTAAGCCCAGGAAGGGCGCAGAAGCTGAACAAGCCAATTGTCATGCAGTATTTTGCTGAATATAAGAAAATATACGAAGAGCTAGAGATCGGGCAACATCCGCAACACTTATACAACATGGATGAAAAAGGCTGCCGTCTCACCATTCACATAGAGTGCATATGGTTGCACCAGACCACGCAGAAAATGTCACTGTGGCTGCATGTGTAAATGCATTAGGTAGTCCGATTCCTCCAATTATATTATTCAAGGGGAAAAGGTTAAAGCCGGAATTTAGTGATAATTTGCCTACAGGATCACACATGCAAATGGCCAGAAAGTCTAATTCTGGTATTAATTTACGGCATGCAGTGCAGTCCTGGTGTTAATAGTTTAGATTGCGACAAGACCTTTTTTGAAGACTATAATCCAGTTCACCACTTTGCTACATCAGAATGCTTATGCCTGTTTCATCTAGTACAGAGGTAAAAAGACGATTAGTTGATTACAGCTCATCAGATTCTGATCTATCAAAATCAAACTTACCGACAGAACTAGGCAACCCTAACCCAATAATAAGGCAACCGATAACTTACAGCTCTGATACATCTGTTACTGAAGTATTTGTTCCACGGCAAAACTTATACCTCAGTATATTCGTGATATATACAGTTCTTCTGATGATGAAAATATAAACCCTATATCAAGACAAGAACATACTTTCAAGACAACATGTAACGACGTCGACAACATTAGACAAGTATGTGATAGCTCTTCAAAATCAAACGGTTCAGAAGACAACTTGCCATTATCGAGATTGAAAGCAAAAAAGTAGTAGTCTCCTTTTCAACAGTTATTACCAACACCGAATTTTGCTGTGGTGAAACAAAAGAAGCCAAGACGTAAGACAATCAATTACAAGACAGACAATTAATTATGATTGACTGGGAGAGAATGCCTTAAGGCATTAAGTCCGCCATATTATGTACGATTTTTCTTTTGTGCATAAAAGTTTAAATAAATAAATAAAATTAAATAAAGGTCGGATAGTGACTAAAGATTTGTTTGCAGAAAGAGTTAATAAAAAAGAAAATAATACAAAACAGCAACATAAGAAAAGAACAGAGGATGACCAGACACATGCAAAAAGAAATAAAAAAGAACAAAGAAGAATGAAGAAGGTATAAAAATCGCGTAAAGTCAAAAGAAATGAAGAAAAGATTCAAAATAAAGAAAATGAGTTAGGAAACATGACAATAAAGAAAAAAATAAATGATTTCAGCCAAATAGATGCTACTGATAAATGGTACTGTCACGTTTGTAACACAGAAAAACTCGAAGACATGCGACAGTGCCCAGGATGCCAAAGATGGGAATGTGTGGGTTTGACAAAAGAGGAGGTTTGAATGTCCTATGTGCAATTAGTTGACCAAAGCTGAAATATTAATTATAAAGCTATCTAGTATTTTATGAGTCAATTAAGACTTCTGTGCTATTTGTTATAATACTTAGTTCATTTTAATCTCAAAATGTATTATCTCATTAGTATAATAAGGGCCACAAATTTTATATAAAAAATGTTTTATTTTTCTTTGCTTTTATTAAAGATTTAAATAGTGTTACGAACAAATTGTTCAATAATATGAATATTTTGGAATATTCATCTATTTAATACTGTTTCATGCAATTTTGTTACGTTATTCTAATAAGGCTCGTCGATGTTTTTCTGATTAATTAGGATTTGTCGAAAGCGTGATTAGTTAGAAAATGAAAATTTATATTAGCCGAAAAAAGAAGACGAACTGATAAAATTTAATAAAACTGTATTTTGATACGGTCCTTTTTTAACCATCTGGGTCTAATAAGGGCCACAATGAATAATTTAAAAAGACTTATTTGTAAAGTTAAATTATGTAAGAACCCAAAAAATTGTAACTGTTTGAACTTTTAATAAAGAAAATAATAGTCTGGTGTCTTGTTTTTTATTCGTATCGTTTAAATATTTTAAATATTGAGTTTTGAATTAAGGCTCTTATTTGCCGCAGGTACTATAGTTGACAAAAATTTAAGATATCAAAACAATCGTGCGGGAAAAAAATCTGTGATTTGATGCAAATTGAACGTGAAGCGGTGCGATTTATTTCCGCGGGAATAATGTGTGCAGCATAAAGTATCGCTATGTCCACACTGCGTAATAAAATTCGCGAGTTTCGCGTCCTTCTCCAGCTATTATCATTTTTGTCCAATTCGTATCTTGATAGGTAATAGCCCAACCAACAAGTCGTAGTAAATTATCGAATGATTTTATAGTCATTCTGTAATATCCAAAAAACTTTTACTGTATTTTCGCAGCATTTGATGTTTCATGTAGAAAAATACTTTCATAGGTCTCAAGGCCCTAAATTAGAGAATCCAATGTTCATGACATCTTTTGATACGTCTATCACGCCGCCGTCGTAGTATCAGGTAAATTAAAAAAAATCTGTTGTACATTTTTAGATGTGCGTTTCAGCGGGGAACTGCAGGGCCTAAGTGTTGCAAAGTAACTTAAAAAAATTAAATAACATACAACTAATATTATTCTAATCGTTTATCTGGCTTTTGAAGAGAAGGCAAAGATTACTTACAGTTACGATCTCGAGCATCTCCTGTCGGGATATGTAGCCGTTACCGTCCAAATCGTACATTGAGAAGGCCCATTTGAGCTTCTGCTCGAGTTTTCCACGCGAAGTGACACTCAGCGCACAGAGAAATTCCCGGAAGTCTATTGTTCCGTCACCGTTCGCGTCAAACGTTCTGAAGACATGTTCTGCAAACTGACCACAAAGAAAAATATTGTAAAGGGGTCATAATTATTAGCTAAAGTGAATTGACAAATCTATTGCTTTCTTTTTAACCGTGTATAAAATGGAGTAACATTCATAGATATAACATCCCATATCCTCTCCCATTTTAACGGTTAAGGGGATATCCGTTTGGCGTTTAGGCTATAGGTACAAACATTTTCCTCTGGTTTCTTCATTTTCAGAAAGTCCACGTCCAGTTTTAGAGCAAAAAAACAGCCGAATTTGCCTCTTTTAGTTATATTGTTAGTTATATTAATTAAAGATGATGTTCAAAATGGTGACACACAAAAGATAACTTTAAAAAATAAGATCGTGTCCTTCTCACACGCCTTTACAAAAATAGCTTTATTAATCGTAATAAATAAATAAGAATATTAAATATCTTAAAAATCACGTACTTAATTAATGTTTCATCATTTGCATAAAAAACATGGAGCCTATTTAAGTCAAAACCACAGTAAGCTGATAGAAGAAATTCTTATCATTACCAAGAAAAGTTTAAAAATCCATAAATTATAGCTTAAACTTCTATCGAGGTTTATAAAAAGATGATTTTATTAAGAACATATTTTTATCATAATCATTATCATTACAGCCCCTTACAGGTCCACAGGTCCACAGTGAACATGTGCCTCCCCCAAGGAACACCCCAAAACACGATCACTTTATCTAGCGTGGGGCCGCCTTGCACTCCGCCTACCGGTACGAGGCTGCCACTCCAAAAACTTTCTTCCTCATCAGTTGTCGGTACCTCGAGGTAGGCCGGCCCATTGCCACTTCAGCTTATTGATCAGTTGGGCTATGTTGGATATAAAAATGAAGTAATTCATCTTACCTTACTTGCATCTCCGTACGGAAAGAAATTGCCGTATATTTTTTTAAATTCTTCAACAGATAAGTGGCCACTGGGACAATCTTTTAAAAAACCTTTGTACCATTCCTGTATTTCAGCGTCTAAAACAATGTTGAACTTTCTAAGACCATCGTCTTACTACTTAGTCAATTATTATAATACAAACTTTGTGTTTGTTTATGCAATACTAACAATACTAATACTAACCTGAAAACTCTGTGTTCTGTTTTAGGTCCTCTAGGACTTCTGGTTTTAGTTTGCTATTTTGTTTCCCCATTTCAATTTTTTTTTATTTCGACAGTGAATTCGTTACGATACACCAACGTCGCTCCAGGTGCCTTTCGTTAATATTTGACTTGTGCCCTACAAACATAATAACCTAACCATAGAAATAACTACAAACAGATTAAATAGTCATACGAATATTTAAATATTATAATATTATAAAAGTTAAATAATGAACACGATTGAGGAACGATAAATTAAAAAATTGATAAAAACAAACACAACACTCGCCAGAAAATGCTAATCCGAAAAGTAATTAAATCGCATTATATAATCAAAATTTTGATATTCGGTAAAGTAAAAGACAAAATCAATCGATAATTATTGCAAAAATACTCGCGTATATTAATATCAATAACGTAAAATGAAATAAATTTTTTACAAAAGTACGAGCACATATCTTATACAAACCTTAACAGTTTTGTCAAGAAAGATTAAATGAATTCGTATCGTAAGCTTCATCTGCTTAATTACTATTACAAAATACAAACAAATATTTACCGCGAAATACGTAATTGTTTACACAATTTACAAAGACATACAGTAAATTAGTAAATAATAAAATAGATATAACAAGAATAATTTATACAAATAGAAATTTTCTAATGATTATAAGTGAAGCTTTTGCTATGGCTTATTTATTTATGTCTCTTATCAAGCTTAAGAGAGAAATAAAACTTTTCTACTCCTCCTTAGCCGGACTTATCTTGTCTAAAACTCTTCAATCGGCACTAAAAGTCCCAGGACAACTGAAAATAAAGATATTTATTACATTAAAGTTCGCACAAAAGAATCGTAATTATTAGAGAATAATGTACCAGGCTGGTCTGAAAAGTTTCCGATCTCTACGTGAAGATGGCTGCACTCGTCAATAAAAGTTAGTGAATGTAGTTGTGCATCTTTTACTAGTTACGCACCAAAAATTTCAGCCATTTTTGGGGTATAGTTGTTATTTGACAGTTGTTTGATTGAGTATCGAGCAGTCATTAAATTTTTGTTTTTGAAAGGCAATACGCCTACGCAAATCAAAGATGAGCTGAACTCTGTGTATGGGGGGACTCTGCACCATCAATCAGAGTGAAATTTTGGGCAGCTGAATTTAAACGTGGATGTTTAGGCCAAATTTGGTCATGTTGAACGTCATCCAATTACGTTCGACTTCGTGAGTCGCACGATGGCTCCAGATGTCACGCGCATCGAAAGGAGGGGGAACATTATAATTGTTTCGTCACGTTTAGTGCCCTTTGTGTTTTGGTTGCCTAGCTAGATTAATTTGCGTGTCAACGAGGCGTATTTTGACTCTGGCGCGACGTGTTATTCTGGTGCCGAATTTATAATTTGTGATAAGGGAATCCGGGACATTCTATGTCGATTTTTGGGCTACTGTCCTTGCCGTGTCGGATATCACGTGTTCGATTCTGCGATGAGTGTGGAATTAGGCGAATTGAAGTTAGTTAAATGTATGATGAAGCTGAGAGACTGAGTAGTGACAGTGAAGAAAGAAGTGGTCCGGCGCTGAAGCCTGCTGGAGCGCCTGATGCAGCATTTTGGGGCTGCCTGGAACTCGGCCGTTGCTGGTCGCCTAAGCTTGCTCAGGTCGCAGATATTTACACCTCACTGTACACTACTCGCCATCCACTATTACACACACTCACGGCCTGCCCAAGCCTTGGTGCGAAGTTAGCTTCGGATAATGGTAAGTACTATGTGTTTCTAGCTTTTTCCCATATAGTTTTTTGTGATAGAACATATTCCACGTGGCCATATTGAGGCCCAACCTACGTCTGCTCATGAAGTCTTCTGCTGAATGGGCCCCAGAGGATTTGACCCTTGCTGGAGCAGCCGTAGGCCGTAACAGTGGACGTGAATGCTCGAGAGAAAACTGTAACTACTGACGATAACATCGCTAAAGTTGCTAAACGATGCCAATGGTGCTAGACGACTGCAGGATAAAGTGAGAGAGATAGCGACTATGAAAATGTCCAAAGAATGTGTTTTTCATGGTGCCTTTCCATGCTTGCCAAGCCTCGGCGAACGTCCACAAGTACAAGCGAGGGCGTTTGGCTTGGCTTGCGTGAGTTCGTGGACGCTTTTCTCCGATCCGGTCTAGTGTCGGTTTTTGGACACAGATCAAAGGGCGCTTGTGGCAAGCGTTTGCGACGCATTCACACGTTGGTGCGCGTTTAGTAGCCATTGTCATTTCGCGACGAGCGCATGTTTAACGTTTCTGGAATATTACCAGACCGAATCGTCTAACTGGAACCCCAAAGACGTTAATCATAAAGATAAAAAGACCAGTTGCAGATGCTTGGAGTCGTCTTGCCGAGTTAACGGGAAGGCCAGTAAAAGAATTAAAAGCCAAAAAAATATTCATGACAAGTTTTCGCAAGCATTTGAAAAAAAAAACAAGATTCGTCGAGCTTTCCTTGTTTTTGTATTACTTTGCTTATATTTCAAATAAAAAATATGTTAAAACAAACGCCGACACAAGTTTGGTGTCCACCATGCTTTAGTGTATGTAGCACACTGACGCATTCACAAGCATGGAAATGACTTCCAAGTGCCAAACGAGATTTGTGGACGCTCGGGGCCTGAAGACGTTTGTCAAGGCTTGGCAAGCATGGAAAGGCACCATCACATATTAAATGAAGATTTAGGCATGAGAAAGTTGTCAGCGGAAATGAATCGATATAACTGCAAATCGGAACGGTTCTTTAGCCGCAGGTTTCGGTTGCGGATGCGGCTGCCCGCAATCCGGTAGCGAATCAACCGCATCCTGCGGTCAGCCGGACGGTTAGTCCTTGGAACTCTAAGCGCAATATGAGCGCTTCGAGTTGCAAGTAATCAGCATTGAATAGATTTTTAAGGGAAAAAGGTACTCAGTACGTCTAAATATATTTATGCTTTTTTATTACACTTGGTGCGATCTTTATCGTAAACAGATTATAGAGTTATGGAGTTATTTTTATCATAGATGCATAAAATCAGTACCCAAAACCACAGCGACAGCATGTTTCTTATTGAAATTTATGTAAGATTTTTCGTCCCGAAGCGAAGAAAGTAAAATGCACTTATTTTTCTGATTAGACCTGTGATTTAAAGCATGAAATCTTTAAGTTTTCAATAGCGTTAAGCGATAGCATTAACTAAATAAATGTTATCATCAAAAAGTAATTCTATCAAAAGCCTCTTTCCTTACCTATGCTTAATAGTTGTCTCTTGAATTCCCTTCAAATCTCTCGTCCACACTGCAAAAGGTAACGAACGCCAGCTTAGTTTTTCCTCTCTGTGGAAACCTCAAGAAATTAATGAGGCTAGTCGCTTATCAAAACATGACACATTTTAGCAGTAGATAAAGCTAGAGATCAACAAATAAGTGCATTCGCAGCGCGTACTTGGTTATAAGTAGGTAAATTTCAATAATTTCGCTAAGCAGCACCATTAAATTCGCACTGCATAAAATTATCTTTAAACGGAGAAAGTATTTACCTTATATTATTATTTTAGACGCCTATTTATTTTCTATTGAAATTTCCATCTGAATCATACACGCCTGTGGCGATTTCAGTGCTGCTGAAAACAGTGTACAGGGGTCAATTATACACACACACATAGTCAGGTCTATATTTTGGCGACGCATAGAAAGCAGGTAAGCGATCTCAGTATTTTATTAAAACGCTCTATAAGAATGCTGCTGCAGGATAGGAAGGTACTGGGAAAAAGGTACAGGACATGTTGAAAGTGAATAAACTTGCAATGGAATAAAAGGAAAAATTGTATCCACAATTCTACTAAAGAAGAATCAAAAGTTTAAGTGTTTTAAAAACTCTATCTACCACTTTTCTTTTTAAGAATTGAGCGGAATACAGGGTCATTTTTAATTTACTAAAGACCTTTTGGGAATATATTGGTTACATCATTACAAACAATTTTAGCGAGATCACTCTTCACAGAATATAATACATTTACGAAAAAACTACTTTTAAGGTTTTGTTGTCATGTCTGACTCTTTTTAAGTCTGTATTTTGTAGTACCTAAACAATGTCAGAATAAATCGTCAAAGAAAATGCCTTATTTATTTTACACTTGATATCAGTATCAAACATTGTGTTGAAATCATTAAACATAATTAAATGAGCAAATGACATTCAAAAAAAATCACAAATATTAAAATTTATATTATGTAAGTATGACCGCCGGGCCGGTCGACGCCCGCGCTCAGCTGATTGGGTTGCGAGGAGCCACTTTAAATGACTACATTAACTTTTCATATAGGTACATATTTTGCATAAAACCATTTGATGAACTATTTGATTATTTTATTAATTTCTTTAAGAATTAATAGACATTTAGGTAGTTTTTTTTTAAGAATACTGTTTGCTGGTAGCAACGCCTCAACGTCGCACATGCGGCGGCCCAAGGCCAAGCCAAAGGTATATTATGACGTCGACACAGGCGTGTCATCGTCATCAAAGGCGCCACCTGCCCTTTTCGGTTTGCAGCCATAGATTTGGTGATCGATGTTTGTAGCACGTGCAAATTAAATCAGTATTATTAACTATTTTTTTATTTAATGTAAGTTGTATTTAAAAAATGGATGCAGGTTAAAATAATTACAAATATTACAATAAAATATTTATAATGATTAAATACAAATTAACAGTAATTGAATAAAGATATTAAGGTATAATGGTTCAATAAAAAAATACAAAATATTAAAATACAAATACAAAATAATATTAAAATACAAATTTAAAAATTAGACTTACCTAGGTACTTGTCCGCGGATGGCGGTGAGTATCGCGCACATAGCGTTCAAAATAATCACCTCCACATTCTATGCATAGGTGACACCTAAAACTTAACTGTTCACTGACACGAGATAATACTTGATGATTCATTTTGATTTGATCGAATGCCCAAATTATTTTTTCTTTCAACATGTGGTTAACTTGGCGAGCATAGTGCGCCGGCGCCCCGTCATGTTGGTAA